CGGTGTGAGTTGCACATTTTGTATTATATTAGATGTATTAGTTTAACGTGTGGTACACCAAATGTGACTCAAAAGCAGTTCAAAATAGTTAAAACAATAAAAAATATTGATTATGTTTATGCTAAAAACGATCTCTACTAAGAACTTACCAGATTGAGTGGGAATCGGAATGGCTGAGAGAAGGGTTCTCAGGAAGATATATGGACAAAGAGAGAATGGCTGCAATATAGTTAGCATCTATGCCAAATTAGAAGAGCTCATAGCCCAGTCCGCACATAATCGAAAGCGAAGCTAAATCGCAGAGACTTCGCTGACTCGGCAATTTCGAAAGAATGTGATACGATCGAAACGCGAGGAGAGCCTATGTGGGCCGGTCCACTAGGAGAAGACCAGTTAGTCGCCCCACCCGGGGCGTGTTACCCAGCCGGGTGAGCATATAAGTGGAAACAGACCAAGCCGGGTGAGCATGTAAGTGGAAACAGACCAAGCCGGGTGAGCATGTAAATGGAAACAGACCAGTGCCTCTACAGTGCAATAACAAAACTGTTTGGGAATAGCCACCGTACCGAAAACCACTAAATAATTGTATATTTAAAACTTATATAATTATGATAGCAAATTAGTTAACGCAAAATGTAATTATAAGTCACATTTATCATGTCAATAGCGATTCACCCTTTTCTACCACTGTACACGTTATTTTTTTTAAATATACTCTTTTATGTTTCCAGTAACGTGCGAAAGTATTGTCGTTAGTGTATCGTCGTAGAAGTGCCAAGGCAAAGTATGCCACTTAAACTACCTAAGGGGTTGTAAACGTTTAAATAATTTGATAGTAATTAAATAAATAAATTATTTGCCTTTTGATTTTTCAAAGATATCATACTAAAAACGTAATAATAAAAATATTAAGTATATTTAGAGACTGATCGCGAACTCAAAAATGATAATATTATTTCTGGCAAAAACAACTAACTAATAAGAAAATTGTTAAAACAAACCAACAAGAAAATCAATAAAATGAATTAACAATACGCCACCAAAATTGAAACATGAATATTTCCGAAATTTGACCAAACGCAAGCATACGCCCCATGTACTCCGACATAATTGTAGTGTTTGATAGATGTGAAACAAAATTGTAAAGTGATACGTTTCTCGCATGAAAAGTAAGTAAAAAGAATCGGGGCCAATTAAAATATGTCTTTTTTTAGAGCTTTAGAGCTTTTTTATGATTTTTAAATGGAATTTGTATTTTTCAAATTATGAAACTGAATTGTAGTTTATTATTTACCGAGTTTTCAATACTAGTTATTGTCAAGTGACATATTCTTATTACGTAATACGTATTAATTATTTAACATTAAACATATCATTAATGTATATAACTATCATAATTTATGATTATAATAATAATAATGTGACATTTACATAATGTAAATTCAAGTGAAAAAAAATTCTGACGTACCTAACGTCAGAATTATGTCAATGTCAAGTTATGTCATTGGCTTTATTTATGTTGCTTTAGCGATGTCAAAATAGCGACAGGTATATAGGAATGGGCGATCGATTGCCGTCGAGTTGCCTTTTGAATTAAACTCAGGTCAATGAACGCTATCGACATGCTAAATGGTACAAACGAACACGTTTTGTGAAGCTTAATTACTTACACTAGGTTTTGTTTCCGATTAATACACATTGATAATTATAATAATAATTTTGTATTGTCCAATAATATTACGACTGGTGGCTCCATTACTCATTAATATTAAAAACTATACCGGAAATAGACAATTAAAACCTATACTAATCCTAAAACGCTTTGATTTTACAACGATATTCAATAATGTAACAAACCTGTGAAATTCTCTAAGTAGCACATAAAACATCGAAAACTTTGAGTTTCAACCGAGGTATCCAATTTATGCTTATACTTCTGAAGCAATATATTACTGAATGGGAATAACTCTTTATAATTGCGTTATGAGAAATTTATAAATTGAACTTTGTGGAGGTATAATTTAGTACTAAAATTCCCACACAAAGTTAAAATTTTCGCAATGTATTTATTATTCGAACATATAAAATAATGTGTTGAGGTTGAAATCTATTACCAAAAGTTTTTAATTATTAAACTTTATTAATTTACCCAATTTTACTTTGATGTTCTTATACAGAGAATCTCCAATAATACCTACAAGAGTATTATTCGAGTTACTCTATTAGTTTATAGCCTCCAACCAAAATCCTTAACAATTGCTAGGGACATTCATTAGTTATAAGGACAACTGGTCCCAAAAACGGACAGATTCGCCAGTTTGCTGTTTTTTAGAGAGTTCGTCGAGCTCGACGGCCTCGCGTAGTGACTTTGTGGCGAGGTGCTCGCGGGCTGGGACTCGGCATCGCGGGCGGAGCGGACGACGCAGCGGGAGGCGGAGGCGTTTTTGTATCACACATTGCACCTGGCGGAGCGGCTCATCACGACGGCAGACTGAGAATAGGAGATAAGATACTGGCCGTAAGAGACGAAGATGTAAGTTTAAAATAAAGAAAATTTTAACCTGGTTTGTGAATGGATTTTGTTTTTTATGAATGATGTATGAACTCGTTTCTTTTTATGATACCAAGTGGCGGGACGAACAAGTCGTGCAGCTGGTGGTAAGCGACATGCCTATCCATAACAGTTGCAGTGCCATTCAGAGGTTTAAATCGCAAAGATCTTATGGGCACTGACTCTGCACCCATAAGTTGTCAAGTCCCATGTGCCTGTAATTACACCAGCACCCTTGCACTTCTGAACATTATAAATGCTCACATTACTACTTGGCGGCACTAGCAGTGACGAACTCTTTCTCAAGGAGCTCTGCTGCTACTAAACGCGAATGCGCTACCGAACAAAAAGGCAATCTGACGACTCTTAACCCAAAGTACCATGACAATAACAAACTTTTGTTCCCAATTCAGCGACTGATATAAACTTTTGCGGACAATGAAACAAACAACTATTAGCCACTTTGTTTGCATTATATATTCAATAGATTTAATTGCTTATTGGAAAGTTTGTTAAGTGAAGTTAAAAATAAATGAATGAATAATAATATCTTTGTTTTTGTCTGCGCAGGGCATAGAAACATCATTAATTGGAGCAACACATGCACAGGCTGTGTCAGCGTTAAGAAAAACTGGTGAACATGTAACACTAGTAGTTTTGCCCGCTGGTTCATTCCCGCCAGTGGCAAGATCCGCTCCGCTCTACGCTAGTGAGTACTTATTCCTTACCTTACGTAGACATTGACTATGATGTAGTCTTAATTAAGGCGATATTACAGAAAGCACATGCATCACTAAGTCCCTGCGAATAATTTGAATGCGGGATTCTAACGTCTCTCAAGTGCGGTGACGTAAGCAATGTATATAATACATGCTATTATTATGAGCGCCCGTTATGTGATATTAAACAATATCTACGGTATTATGAATGTGGCTGGTCATAAAGTTGATTAAACACATTTAGATGTAAATTTCGTTGCAGCGCGGACTCAAGCCACATCTTGTTCTACATTACACGAATTATTAGAAGAGGAGCCAAGTGAAATACCAAGGTAAAGTTATTATTACCAGAGCACGTCTTGCTTTGGTCCCACTAGTTAACGTGTCGTGGTGGTGTTGGCACTAATTCAAAACCTTTGGCTTTGGCTTTAACTGGAATTCCGTTTTTGGCACGCGTATATCGCATTTTGTCGCCGCTATACAGCCTCTATACAATTCTGCTGTTTGCGCTGTTAAAATTAAAAATATTCTGACAAAAGGATATTAATCTCTTCTTTTATGGAACGCTTCCTATTATTCTGTATAATAAAGTTAGACAGATTTGCTCTGGCATATTTTTAATGGTATTGTTTGCCTAAAATGCGTTACGCTGTGAGTTTTGTACGCGTATTTTACGAAATTTCCTCAATAACAGTAAAATATTATTTGCCGTATAACCGTTTCTACGAGAATACTCTTTATCTTATGCAATATTTACAAAACTGTGCAATATTTGTGTAACCCTGTTTAAACCATTGGAAATTACAGTTAACACTGTATTTTTGCTTCGGTGTTGCCTTGTACACCACTCTGTTTCGACTGTTAAATTTTTGACAGAGAATAGGAAACAGCATGACAACATTGTCGGAAAGAAAAATATAACATTGCCCTCTGGCTGTCTTTCGCCTCCTTCTTAATTGAGTAAATGTTGCTGAAACCCCATAGACCACCAACTCACTGCGAATAATTAAACAAACATAAATAAGTATAATATGAGCGTGTTGGTTCATAAGGTATCCTGTCTAAGTTTTTATGGTTTGCCGTGTACAACATTGTTTCTACTATAGGTATGTTAAAGTTTTGACAGAATATTTATTTATTCATTTAACATTTTCACGTAACAGTGAAGTCCAAGTCGCTAAAAATACAGAAACAACAAGAAATAAAAAAGAATAAACTTATGTACTTAATGCATAATATAGAATTGAACTAACAGCCATCATTGTTTCAAGTACTTTTTACATGGGCTCATCAGACATCTAATTGCATTATCAAATAAATCAGAACATTCTGGCCACATGACGCCGCTTCGAGAACGGAATTGAGAAGTGTACTGGCGCGCAACACCGGTGTATTTTTGCGTGAAATAGTGGATTAAATGGCAATACTGAGTAGGAATGACAGAGTATCAATGCCACCATCATCATCAACAGATCATCAATGCCACCATCTTTTACTTTATATGGTTGTATTGTTATTTATTGAAATTGATTGTAACCCCTGACATCAAATAAATTTAAAACTTTTTTTTCACACAGTTGTGTTCGCATGGTTCGCCTCGTGCGTACAGGTTCTCGGCTAGGCATGGACATTGTCGGTGGTCTTGGTGGCGAAACGGAAGGCGACACAGGAGAGGAGGATGCGTGTGGGGTGTTCGTATCAGGGGTATCGGAGGGAGGAGCGGCTTATGGCATGCTGTATAGGGGCGACAGGATATTAAGCGTGGATGGACGAGATTTGACACGAGCGACACATGAACAGGCCGCTGCTGCTTTAAAGGTAATTGTCTTATGAGTATTATAAGCTAATAAAGTACATTAAGAGTCGATACTACCTCAGCTCGAATTCAAAATTTTTCCCATACTAATACGGTTCATTTTGCTTGAGCAGGGACACCGGCTTTATTTTAGAATGTTTTTTTTTACAAATGAAAATAAAGCCTTTTCAAAAATGTATATCGCATACTGTAAGTGTTATATTTATTTCTGTTGATATAAAGAAAAATTAGTATATGTAAATTACCTATTGAATACAGCGGTTTTCTTGTAAAAATTCGAGGTACGTTTGTGTTTTTTTTTTAGGAAAAGATTTTTAGGAATCGTGTTTTCACACCAGATAGTAGTCAGTGTATATCTTCAATATTACCTAATATTTTTTCCAAAGTGATTGTTTCAACACTTTCACTGTTATCCGGAATCAACCAAAGCCATTTAAGCTTGTATAGATAGATTCTCAACCATAGAAATTAAGCGAACATTTAAAAACTCATTTTTTCGTCTGACAACCTGATTTTAGTCCCAATAGTCAGCCTACCGATGTCATTACAGGATCCAATAGGAAAAACCTATGCACACAACGAATTTTTTTTTACCCGGATGATACGTGTTGAAGGCTCGCCGTGAGGAATAATAAACCATTTCCAAAGTTTACTGGCTGCGACTGAATCTAGTTTGAATCGTGTTAACGTGCGTTAAATGCATGTCATCCGCGCGTAAAAAATACGCCGTGTGCTCTAATAAGCCGTCATTTATTTAAGTTACTTGTTACGACTTTTAATGTATAACTTCTGTGTTCAAACATGAAACCGGGAAATGTAAGTGACTTATTGTTTTAATATTTATGAAAGAACCGCGGTTTGGGAACAATTCATCTCATCGCTGTCTGTCGCTGCTAACACAAACGGAGCGAATGAAATCTCCGTAAAATTTTGACGAAATCGTATAGTTAATTATGGTTTTTTATAACTTCAGAGGAAGTACATTTTGTAGTAATTTACAGAGATCGAAAGAGGTTTAGTGCATTTGTTTAAATTTCTGACAAGTAATACACATAAAGTGCATCGTTTCTCTGCAACTACGAAAGTAGTTTATTCTATATTATATTTAATTCTATATTTTTGATACGTAAGTTAAGAAAAGTTTTGTAATTGTAAGTAAAAATACATTACTCTGATTTTCTGCCATTTATTATTAATCATTCAGGAATTTCAAACAAAATTATTATTCACTCTATACATGTTACTTGAAATTTAGGTAAAAAACTCTACTTAAGTAGCAGTACAGCTCCTTGTGAAAGAATTTGTCCAGGAAAGTACTGCAGGTTTACCTATTTCTGCCGCCAAGCAGTAATGTGACTAAAGGGTAAGCGTGCTGGTGAAACAGGCACATGAGACTTGTCAACTTATGTCTCAGAGTGTCAGGCGCAGTGGGAGTGCCCTTTTTGGCTTTGCGGTTTGAACTCTTAGCGGCACTGCAACTGTTATGAAAAGGCGTGTCGCTTTCCACCATTTCCATCATTTGGTTCCATAAAAAAATACTTATTCCTATATTTAGCGAGGTGTCATTAGGAATTTATCCGACCGTTAATCCACTAGGTTGGGAACTTCAGACGTTTTTCACGGGTTGTGAACTTTCTTGAACATCCGGGTTTCATCACGTTGTCTTTCTTCACCATTAGCGAAATGCATTGTTACTAAATATTCATAAATGTGCGTAGCTTAGAAATTAGTCATAGGTACCTATATACCGCCACAGAGAATCGACTCATCTTCCGCTCAATTGAAAAGCAATCGTTCTCCCACTGGGCTACCACCATTATCGTTTTGTATTTACTAATAAAACTGAAATATAATTCCTTTTTTATACCCAAGCAGTACTCGGGCAGTGCAGTATCGATAGCCGCTCAATACCAGCCGGAGCAGTATGAGCGGCTCCGTGCACGCATCCGGGCGATCAACGCGGCGGCCGCCATGTCGCCGCATGCGCGCCATTCAACACACGTTCCCGTACATCCCGATCTACATGTTGTATATCCAAGGTAGGGCCGCTGATTGTTTATAATTGTTTCGTATGAATAACAATCTCATGTTTTTGAGTTTCTACTGAGACCTATTTTCGATTTTTTTTAGTTTATTCCAGTGAAAATACTGTTAGTGCAAAAAAATTTGTCACTGAAATGTTGGTAAAGAAAGGGTACTGTGGGAGCATAGCCGTGGTTATAGCGTAGTGAGAGGTACTATTTAATATTTAAACGAGGAATATAATCATAATTAAAGATTTACTGCGAGCGTTCAGTTTGAAGGTTTTTCCAGAACTCCCCTATTGTTCATTTGACAGAAACCTTCTCTTTTTTATACATATAAAATAATACAATCTAACCAGCCTACGCTACAGTACATACATACACATATACTTCACGCCCTTTTCCCAGGCAGGGTCGGCAGAGACTAGCAGAGAGAGCCTTCCACATGACACACATATTTCGCCTCATCACCACGCATCAGAGCTTTCATACATGCTCATCGGTTAAGGGTACTCTTGATATAGCTTTTCTTTAGGACGTCCTTAATTTGGTCATTAGCCTTACCAAGGGTACAAATACGCTGTCATTAACTGGAATATAAACGTTATATCTTCTGTCGAGACCATGTCGAGACTAACATTGGCTTTTTGGCTATGTGTACGTAGATGTCAATTGTTTGAAAGGTCGCTCGTCACCATTCTTATTAGAGCGGAATCTGCTTGAGCCTGCCAGGAAAAGTCCAAGCGACGCTTGCTTCCGCTCGGGCCGTCAGAAGCAAAATACGAAACATTGTTTTCGCTCTTATTTCCTTATTATGCGATTCCTTGTCTATAAATGTAATGACTCGCTTTTTCGACGACCTTAGCGCAGGTTAGAAATCGCGCCGAAGACTAAAACTCTTTTTTGTTTCCGTAGCATATGAGTGTTTAAAAAACAAAGATCTGCAACAAGACAGAAACATTCGATAAACCTTGAAATTACAATTATTAAAGCGACATCTCTAGTCAGCTACGGGTAGCTGTAAAGGTACCTGTCCGAGTGAAGAAATAGATTTTTCACAGATGGCGCTACGGCAAAAAGTCGTTAAAAACACATTTTTTCGCACCCTTCAGGGAAGAATGGCAGAAGTGGAATTGCGTCAAAAATATTTATGGTTCCATTAGACACATAAAAATACAACTCTATCGACAATATTAGTCGATAGAATTACAAGAATTGGAGAGGATGTGGGTTATACTTTTCTGTATCTAATGAAGAATAAACATTTTTGAAGTAACTCCACTAATGCCATTCTTGCATGATGGGTGCGATTTACATTGCCGGGGAATGAAGGTCGAACAGACTGAAGACCTCTTTATAACCATAACAAAATGAACTTTGTGCCAATTGCGTAACGTACAAACTGGATACGAGGCAGAAACCGGAAGATTCTCGCGCAGCTTCGAGAATTCCCGCAGCTACCGCCTAATATATACGGCTAAAAGCCGTTAAAATCCAGTACAAAGCGGTGAGGCAACAGACTCTTGTTCGAGTCCAATCAATTCGAAGGAATGTCTTGTTTCGATCTTTATATCAATAATAAAGAAGTTCATTATACAGGTTTCCATTCCGTATCGATGCAATGTAAACAGACCATTAGTGTTACAAGTATATTTCTGAATATTTAGATAGACTATGCATTGTTCACACGTGCTGGCTGAATTTGCAATGCAGCGCGTGGCGAGTACATTCGATACATGACACGAATATTTTGTCCGCGCTCCTCATATTGCTCGGGTGCAGATGTACCAAATAGTCACTATTTATTATAATTTACGATTCTGCTTACTTTTGTATATTATAGTTTGTAATATGGAATTAGTGCCACTCTGGAATTAGTGATCAGCCTTTGTTGAAGTAGAAGATATTTATTGAGAATTGTCTTGCGTCATTTACAGGTTTCAATGCAGTTTGAAACGAGAAGTTTATACTATAGAACTAAAAAGACCGATGAAGTATTAAGACTGTGCAAGACGACTTAGTTCTTATGTCGTAAGAATATATTCTTAATAATTCGTGGTTCATAAACTATGCAAGTCTAGTGTGTAAGGTAGTAAGTTCAAATGTACAAGCGTCTCGTCCTCACCCGCGCTCCTGCGTTTTGCACAGAGTTATCAAAGGTTAGAACGATCTATTTAAGTATTATTATTTTTGTATGAAAGTAAAATATGATGAATTATTAAAAGTCATGAAGCAGAAGTTGTTATTTATAATGTTGCGAGGATGTTAGTATGTTACAAATATACCTGTACGGTGGTTCACAGGTAGCGAAATTACTTTCAAATAATCTTCGGTAACGTATATTGAATTTCTATTGTATTTTATATACTAAATTCATGCAAACATTGCTATTACTAGAGCAAAATATTGCATTGTTTCTCATAATATTTATTACGAAAATTTAATTTCAAATTCTCCATGTGTCTCCATTAATAGGATTGTATTAGAATATTGTGTAATAATGGATGAAAAACGTTCAATTTATAATTATTATTTGTAATCGCAAATATTCTGCAAACGTTAAAACCAGGCTTTGTTTGTAATTACGCTAATAACACACAATAAAATAACATTAACAGTTTCAATTACGTAAATTACGAAACCTTGTATAGTACAATTTACATATATATTATGTACAAAGGCAGATGTCAGGTTTGTTATATCAATGGGCATTGATAATGAAAGTTTATAGATTCTTCTTCTTCCAATCATCTAGACGACTTACACTTTACACTGTAATGCTTGCCATCATGGTGAAAGGATTTGCCAACCGGCGTAAGGTACTCGCCGATTGTGGCCCAGTTTACGTCAGACGTACAGGAAATGAATGATACGTTGTTGTGCAGGGAGGCTCCTTTCATGCACCCCACATTTATATATTATGGACAGTCGAATTTTTTTTACCTAATAATGTTAGGTCAAAACAAAAAGACGCACCCTGATTTTCTACTGTAAGACAGATTTGTTTATTGTTTATTACCGCTTGAAGTCAGTCGTACCATTGAAATGTATTTCGAATACATTCTGAATCATCTATGCAGATATAATATATTGTAACGATATTATGTACATGTCTTTACATATTATTCTAGTCAAAATCCGTGCTCACATATTTATTACCCATGCTGGGAACGTGTGTAATTCGTCGTATGTTTGTTTTATTACACGTCTACGTTCGACTTCGGTTTTACGGGAAGGCCGGAATTGCTTGAATTTCCGTAAACAAATGTTTCTTGAAAGTCTTACCTTGCCTTTGTAATATGTACTTAAAAACTGCTTACATCGTGAGGTTTTTTAAAAAAGCTCCAAATAAGCAAAGTGGATTTTTTTGGATTTGGATTTTTCTAAAGCTATATTTAGACACGTTGCGTAAAAATGAAATCCTTTGTAAATAATGTTTGTCTCGGTAAAAAATCATATCTAAAACCAAGGTTAAAAATTAAAAAGATATTTATTTTCTTTAATAATTGTTATGATAATTATCCGGTATAAATATCCGATAATTATCCATGCTGATTCATAGTTTTCTCTCTCATTTTTAGTAAAAAAACAGTGGAAAAACTAAGTTAAGACAAAGAGAAATCGGTGGGAAAACAATTTATTTGTGACTTTTGAGATTGACATTTATCATATTTGGATACGTCTTTGGTATAAACACATGGCACAACATTGATAGCGGTAGCATTTTATTATTCCAATTGAATTTATGCATACCAAACAAATTTTCAATTATAGTGATAATTTATCATGATAATATTATAAATGATAAATTGTACCTTCGAACTCTGTTTAAAACTGCAGTGAAAAACTGTTCACCGTTAGGCGGTATTACATATGGGGACACTTTTTAAAGCTCTATCAAGCGTAAATCCGATCGCCTGTGGATTACTGTTGCCACTTTTGGGATAGATCTGTTAAATACGAGATGGTCGGTTTAGACTACGTAGAAAAAAAGAGCCAAAAAGCTCCTCGGTAATACTGCTCCGGTAGACGCTAAGCTGCTGATCCATGAGCAAGCGCAAAAGTTCTTGTTCATAGATATTTTTACAGAACATGCTTAAAGAGTGAGCGATAAAATCACACAATTTAATTCCACCTTCTCTTGTCTATATTTTTGCCATTCAAGTATATAAACAAGTTATCCAATCGAAGCGCTTTGTATTCTCCTCATGATAAACGACATGGTCAAGGTCAAAATGCTTCTAGACTTGGATACTTCTAAGGAAAGCATGTTCCATCCTAAATTACATCACCACTACTCACCACCAGGTGAGATTGTAGTAAAATGTTTACAACATCTAAACACGAGGCTAAAATAAATTATTAGTAAGTATCACAATGTTTGTTAATTTTATTTATAACAAAAAAAAAGGAGGAGGTTTTCAATTCGAATGTATGTTCTTTTTTTTTGTATGTATGTTACGCGATAACTCCGGTATTTGTGAACCGATTTTCATGATTCTTTTTTTGTTGGAAAGGGGGTACTTCCATAGTGGTCCCACCTCGAAGGGTGGCTCACGCATGAACATTCATTTTCATAAATAGCGCCTAACATTAATTTAGGAGCAATTACTTTAATACTTGATTTTGCTATTTCTCCAATTCAAGGCGTTTTTCTCTCAATATACTTTGAGTAGTGAGAACCGATTTTTATTTTCTCCAGTGTCAAGTCCTGTATAGTGGCGAACTAGGGGATATTTCAATAAAACTTAGCAAATAGACGTAATTCCACGTACTTTTGAGGTCGGTTTTTTTAGTACTCTGTACTGAGATTATATATATAGAACTAAGTCCAAACTCGTGGTCCTATGATTTCGTTTAACTACGTAAACTATTCTTTTATGGGGAACTGTACATTAAGATTCCGGAGCATATATTAATCATAATTTAGAACTTTAAAAGTATTTTAATTGAAAAGTCATATTACAAAATTGACGAGTATGTGTATAGAAAGACAACACGAGTCTATGTAGATTCCACACAATTATGATTCAAAGTGTATTTCTTAGCATTTAAGTTTATTTTTATTATAAAGCGATGCCTAGAGTTTCATGTTCGCTCTTCTCGGGGAAGTCGTCACAGTGAACGAGCAGAAGCTTAAAAAAATACTTTTTCAAGTGTAAAAAAATTGACTTACGGAATAAATGATTATTTGACTTTGGACATTTTTTAAAGTTTCAATAATTTCTTTCTTTCACAGGTAACAGTGGACTGGCTGTGAAACTGACCACACTGAGAACTGAAGAGTAGCTAGTGAATTTCCAAATGTACTTGTAAAACAAAAAAGTCTAATATCAATTTTATAAATGTCACCGTGGGAAGTTAACGAATTTGATTGAGAATTACTTTACATTTTCGCTGAATTAGACTTCGAGCTTCGAGTAGGTGTTATGTAAATAATTTGTTTACATTACGTATCGATATCTGTTATACAAACAATTTTTGACATATTAATTACCTAATTTAGTGTCATTTGATTTTTTGGGCTGACAAGTTAAATTTCGACACTCGGTATTATACCTGTTTTAAAGAACAGTGCCATGAGTTTACAATGACAGTTTTCGCTAGCGGTCTTGTACAAATATTTCGTCAATTTTTACGGCAAACTGTACAGCACCTCTTTTGTACCAGCTTACTATTTTGACCCGAAAAATAGACATGCTTTTTTGTTCGCCTATTCGATAGAGAAAGTCATCCTGAAACCAAGAGTAGAACTCGCTTGTGTCAACTTTGTATGTTGATGAAGATATATTTTTTTAAATTATTTTTTATGGTTTTCATAGAAACCTAGAAATAGATAATGTCTTTAAACATACTCAGTTCTTGTTCCATTAGTATTAAGTTTCTTGAATATTAACAAGTTTATTGAATATCACAATGTTTTACTATCATGATATTCAATTACTTTTGTGAAATTACTTCATCTGTTTGTTATAATTAATACAAAGATCGAAGACAAAGAAAAATTTCTTCAATCGTGTGCAAACATTTTACAATTCTGCTAGCGTCAATGGTCACTGTAAAATCATGGTTCCTTTCACTGCATTAAAAGTACTATCACTGAACATGTAAATTTTTTATTTTATTTTATTAAAAAAAAAATGTGGGCAACTTCAAATTTGTAATTACGCTATTAAATATGTACAGGAAACAAGTGTTTTAGTTCGCGTTGTAATATTTATTTTATCAATTTGTATTTCCAATAAAAGTACAGTGTGAATTAGTTTAGTCATAAAATAAGTTTATATAAGGTGTAAATAAATTAATTGTTTGTTATCTTAAATGATTTATGTCAATGCTATTTGATAAAATTTGAACACAAATAAGGATAACACGTCTTATTACACAAAAAAAAAATTAATTTTTAGCATAACATACTGTTTACATTTACGAAATTTATTGTCGAACTGTAAATTGGATTTTATCATCATAAATCATTAAAGGTGATGCGATTGAAATGAAAAAAATGTTTTGAATCTGTGATATTAAAATTAATGTTAGTGGTATCGTTGTACGACATGAAATTAAATTGAATATACGACATTGAAAAATGTAGCCTCGCCTATCATTTTTGATTAATTCCGTTTGCGCCATTTATTAAAAGTAAGTAAAAGATAAAGAATCGCAGATTTTACTGGCAGTTCATTAAGAAACATGTTGTTTTAAAAAAATATATACGAGAAACTCTTCAAAACTAGAACGCAGTGATGCTCACATTACTAGTTGGCGGCAGAATTCGGTAAGGTGGCTTACCGAACAAAACTTCACTGGACAAACTCCTTCACAAGGAGCCCTACTGCTATTAATATACAAACATTAAGGCTGGAACAAATGCTAGATTGACGAATTAGGCTCTCTTTAAATTAAATTCCTGATAATAATAATAGTCCAATAATCACACAAAAAATATACGATTGCTTGTAGTCCTTAAATAATTGAATGTATTGAGCAAGACTACAATTTATTGAGCTCTTTTTACGAAATATTAGGGGTTAAAGTATGAAATTGCCGTTTTATTGCAATAGGTT